GAGAAATTTGACCCTGACTTCTGGCCTCTGTGGGCACTGCACACACACACACACACACACACACACAGAGAGAGAGAGAGAGAGAGAGAGAGAGAGAGAGAGAGAGAGAGAGAGAGAGAGAACACATAAACTTATGCAGGGCCACATACACTCAAAATTTTTTAAAGAAAGGATTAATAATTAAGAACACAGTTCCATGTTATTGCATTTGGAGATACCCAAATACACAAGACCCCGAATATCTGCCTGGACAGTGCCAAAATCCAGTGCCTTGAAGGGATGTTTGAGGCAACTGACTGCAAGCCATGTGACTTGGAAGTAAAGGTGTGTCTGGGGGAGCACTGGCTTCCGGTGTCCATCAATCAAAAAGGGTCTTATGTGTCCCTTGCTGCATTGGGGCAGCCCACTAGCTTCAGAACTAATTTGCTTGCTACACATGGACTGCCCCAGTTCATGAGACCCAGCCTGCTTCCAAGATGAACCAAAGAAGGTGTATTACCCCTTTGTTACCCCTTTGTTAAAAAAAAAAAAAGTCTGCTGATTTTACTTAGGATGGAAAAGTGAAATCATATTATGGATCTCCAATCAGCTTGAGTGTCTACAACTTAAGTCACAATTCTCTAAAGCATTGAGGACAGAGAGAGGGGTAGAGGAGGAGGAGGAAGGGTGGGAGGGGAAGCAGGTAGGAAGCGAGGGAGGAGGTCCATAGAAGAGTGTGAGAAGCAGCCCCGAAGGATGTGAGTTGGCCAATGGATTGAGGATGAAGATTCTTCGGTGTGCATCAATTCTGTGTGGCCTCTGTTTCGGTACAGGTGTTAACCATCTTCTCCGCCTCCAACTACTACGAAGTTGGCAGTAACCGAGGTGCCTATGTTAAACTGGGACCAGCCCTGACTCCGCATATTGTGCAGTATCAAGCTAACAAGACGACACACAGGCTAACCATGAGGCAAAGGCAAGCTTTTCAATGAGTGGTTATCAGAAAAAGAATTTTCCCGAGCAGTGGTGGTGCATGCATTTAATCCCAGCAACTGAGAGACAGAGGCAGGTGGATCTCTGTGAGTTTGAGGCCAGCCTGGTCTACAGAGTGAGTTTCAGGACAGCCAGGGCTGTTACACAGAGAAACCCTGTCTTGAAAACAAAACGAGAGAGAGAGAGAAAGAGAGAGAGAGAAAATTTTAGTGCTTAGAAACATTAGATGCCATTACATTTATTCAAATTCTCCAGAACAATCCAGAATTTAGCTACATTCGTATTAAATCTAGAATAGACATCATACCAGAGTCCCTGTCCCTTTGCTGTTGTTTTTGTGGTTGCTCAGTTTCTTTTTCTTTATGAGACAGGGTCTCACTGTGTAGCCTTAACTGGCCAGGAACTTGCTATGTGGACCAGCATGGCTTTGAACTCATAGAGATGCACCTGCCTCTGCCCCCTGAGCACTAGGATTAAAGGTGTGTGCCACCACTGGTTTCTTTTCTTCCTCCCTCCCTCCCTCCTTCCCTTCTTCCCTCCCTTCTTCCCTTCTTCCCTTCTTCCTTCCTTCCTTCCTTCCTTCCTTCCTTCCTTCCTTCCTTCCTTCCTTCCTTCCTT